GTATATCACAAGAAGGAGCTGTACTGGTAGCCAGTGCTTAACTGGTCACAAGCAAGGAATTACCAGCATTGAGAACAGATAGTCCTATGTCCCATGGCAGTACCCTGATTTCTGAAGGGAAAGACACAAAACTGTGTTCAAGTTTGGTAAACAGGAGCTTCCTTATTTAAAATCTCTTTCTCTATCAGATGAAATTACACGTGTGCAGGAGGTTTTCAGGACTTCATCTGAAAGTGTTCATTCAAAGCCATAATTTTCTTTCTCACAAACTGAAATGGCCTTGCTGATATGGCCATGTTCTCTATCAGTCAACTCATTACATCCAGTTCCCACAGAAAGAACCTTGGAGATGCTGACCAGGACCTTTTTGTCACTTGAGGAGTGTAAGGTGCTGGAGCTGGAACCAAAATCTGGAGTGGTAGTTGGCCATTGTAGCCCAACCTGTTACCAAACAGTATCAGAACTAAGTCAAAAACTTGAAAAAAATATGAAAATGTGGGTGAGAAGAGCATGGAATAAAGCTGCAGAAAATCTTGACTTGCTAGAGCCAAAGATATTTTGATTTTCTTTTGGGTTACTAATTTTGTTCTAGTGTCAAAAAGACATGTGCCTTTCCCATTTTTGTTTCAAGCATTCCTGACTTTGTAGTTTATCAGGATGCCAGGAGTCAAAGCTTGTAAGCAGAAATAAGACACAGAAATGATGGAAACACAGAGTGAGTTGGGGGTAGGGGGAGAAGCTCATAAAAGAAGATACAAGCTCCTAGTATATGCATCTTGTAATCCCTGTCATTTTGTATCTTTGTTTAGCTGTGAAATCTGTTATAGCAACTATTACTGGTTTGTTTCCTCAGATGAAAAACAATGAATATAATTTTTAAGTTCCCTGACAAGTTGACATGGAGATTTATCAGTCACAAGAAAGGGGCATAACAGAGTATAATGGCAAGACATATAGCTGACAAAACATCAACTCTGAAGGCATCCCAAAGTGATATAAATCTTCCATTCAAATGAAGGCAATCCTTACTGAAATCATATCTTAAAGAGGCATGAATATAAGGTCTACAATGCAATGTCACATTGTTTTCTAAGCTTGAGAATGAATGTGAGTAGCATTGTCAATTTCATTTTTTTATTTTTCCTTGGGAGTAAGAAATCAAGCAAATACATGTCGGAGAATAGCACACAGCAGTTTTACTGTTTCCCACCATTTCTACGGATTCTTTCAAATTTTGCATGTTTAGTGTCTAATAGAGCAACATGTTCCTCCTGCTTGCTCTAACTCCAGTTCTCTACTCTCACAGAGCCTGCAGAGCCTGGGTTAGCCAGGCTCCAGCCTCGGAGAGTTCACAGCTTGGAGTTCGGGTTGTGAACTCATACAGCCTGTAATCCTTTAAGCCTTGCATCCCACAGAAGAATTAAGGATGAGGAAGGCTGCAGCTGTGGATGTCAGAGAGGGGAGAAAGGGCGATGATGCAGAGCTGAGCAGAAGGAGGGCATGGGCTATGCAGGTAGCTGGTGAGTGCTGCTGGGAAGAATTTGCTAATTGGGAGGGCTGGCAGAATCCAAAGAGCTAAGCCAGGCCTAAAAGGAAGGGTGGTATTGAGTGGCAGGAGGAAGAGCAGAGCTAGGCAAGGTGCACAGTGGCAGAGGACAAAGAAGGACTCAGGGGTTGTAACCCGCAGAAAGCAGAGCAAAGTGGGCAGGCATCAGGCTAAAGAGTAGAGCTGGAAAGAGGGCTAAGTAGACTAGTTTGATTTTGGGATGCTGGCAGAATGCTGGATGCTGTCACTCTGATATGTTCTTGGCAAAGTGTGTACATAAATCACTTTTCTCCACAGCCCTGGTGCAGGGAAGGCATGCTGCTCCTCTCCCACACTTCCATGCACCCTTTTCTCCCTAAACAAACATCCAGAGGAAGACTAAACACAGCATAAGAGGTTTTCTGCCTTGTCCTTTTTCTTTTTGGGATGTGGAAAGGTTGGAGTTACGATTTTAAGTCTCTTCAGGGAATACTATACCTAGCTTGACTCCAACTAATGAAAAAGGCTATTTATCTAATAGACCTTTAATCACAAGCTCTACTTAAACATCAATTACATGATACAACCATTATAGTTAAGCTCTAAATCTCACGTATCTTCCTGTTATCTGAGGATTTTCCTCTGAGATAACAGAGATGATTGATATGCAGCCAGATTTTCAAATGCTCACCACAGAGTATGGGTCAGGTTTTTTCATCCAGCTGTTACTGTTTTGGATGCTTATACAGCAGGTTTTCAGATGCCTTATCACCTACTGTGCTGTGGCTTGGAAGACTGCTTCCTCATTTATGTAAGCAATTAGGGTTCAGCTGCCTCGGGAACCTGACCACAGCTCTGAGTGCTGACATCATTTAAAATTTTTGGCCATAAAGAACACAGCTAGTAGGCATCCTGATTAAATTTAGCCCAATTGCCCTAATAAGGCACAAAGGACCACAGATAGTAGATGATGCATTTCCTCAAGGATGGCTTTTCTTGACGTCTCTGGGCTTGCTAAGACTCCACCCTGTTTTTACACATTGTGCCTCTCTAATGTGACTGTTTTCCACATGCAGGCAAACCATGGACCAGCACATCCTTCACTGTGCTCATGGGAGTGTGCAGCTAAGCAAGCCCAGGCACGGCTGTGATTTAGATGGCAGGGACACAAGAGGGAAAGGGCTGCAAACTGGCGCAGTATTTCCCACTGTACAGTTGTCTGCCTCTACCTGACGTGCAGTTAGCAGAGAAGAAACATCAAGGAAAGGTCACCAGCTGCTCAGAGCAGTTTCAGGTCACACACATGCCCGGGGTTGCCAGCAGTGTAACGGGAGGCAGCTGAAGCGGTCATGCTTCCATTTACCATCTCACGGTGACAAGCTCTGACATCTTAACTAGGTACATTTTCAGTACCCAGTATGTTATAAATTATCTTAACTCAGTCACTTCCAGACACCTTAGGCAAGTCCTTTATTTCAGGCTAGATCCAAATTGTACAGAGAAATTCAGACATGACTGGAAAGCTTTCTTATATCGATAGCAACATCCATAAAAATAAACAGGACATCTGTCATACATGGATAATACTAATCATAAAATAGATGTTGGCTTAGTCTGCTGAAGAAATGCCTCAATTAGTAGTGTTGATTTTGATTCAGATTCAATTTTTGTCTGAAAGCTAGTATCTTTTTCCTATTACTCTAGGTTCATGTCCTTGTTTATTTAAACTACAGACATTTCTCATCCAGAAGTACTGTGGCATCCTTCCATAAATGGTAGAAAACCTGTAACTTGTATAAATTAGTAACCCAAGAGAAAAATCTAAATGTCTTTGGCTCCAGCAAGTCAAGATTTTCTGCAGCTTCATTCCATGCTCTTGTCCTCTGCATTCTCATGTTCTCTTTGAGTTCCTGTAGACTATTCCATGCTTGCAGATATCTAGCACTATAGCCACGTGTCTTCACTCTGCATTTTAAAATCAGTCAGTGCGTCACTGAGGTCAGTAGGGCTTGGCCTTTCTGGTTTAACTCTGAATGGAAGCAAGGGAATCAAACTCACCATATTGTCTCAATAACAGTGTGGGGTACCCACAACCCATTATCTGGAAGGACTATTCTCTTGTATTTAGAACAAGTTTCATCCAAAGCTTAAGCCAGGAACTGTAATTCTCTTTTTCAGACTATCCGACTAATTTAACACTTTTGTCCATCTGTCAAGGTGTTCTGTTTTCTCCAAGGCTACTCTGTTGTTCCTCTGATACCTGGCTTAGCGTGCCTGTGACAACTATAACAAGAACTCGGACAAGAGCCTTTCTCTGTGCTCTGCACCACTACATTTTGGGTTGTACCTTTACATATCCTCCTGCTGAAGAAGCTAAGATTAGCTCTGGTCAGGATAACTGTTCTGTGTGCAGCCAGTGTAGCAACTTGTTCTTTGATGTACATTGCTGGCAAATGCCCTGAGCTGAAATACAGGTAGATTTCAGCAACACTGAACACCGCCTGTGGGAAAACTGTTCGATGTTTGGCCAGGCTTAAATTAGCAATGCAGAGTGGTGCCATAGCTGTAGCCTTGATTTGTTTCTGCTTGCAAAAAGGAGACTAACTGTCTTCTCCATTTTTTTTACTGATTTCCAAGGAATCAGCATAAGCTTGGATGTCCAGCAAAAATTCTTGCTTTGTCTTGCAATGCATTTGTGATGCTGAATAACAGAAGGTGTAGTAACAGAGGCAAGAATCATGTTCATATTTTACTACTGCAATAGAGAAACCACATTAATACACCAAAGTTGCAAATAAAAATCAAAAGCACAAAAAAATCTGCACAGGGCAGAAGGAAAGCGCAACATCCTTTAAAAGCGTTTATTACTGTACTGCAACCTGTAAGGAAAACACTTCTCATTTTACCAGTAAATCACTGGCCTTCGGGAACAGAGAACACTTAGGAACATAGATAACAGCCCTAAATGAAATGCTAAATCCATCAGGAAATAAGGACACCTCTCGAGAGGAGTAAAACAAGATTTTTTTTTTTTTTTTCAAAAGCTAATAGGGAAAGTCATCTTGATGGTTAAAGCAAACCCGCCTGACCTCGAACCAACCCGCAGAGGCAATCGCCGAGGGGAGATGGCACGGCCGTGGTCGGGGCGGGATGTGCGTGGCGGAGCACCGTGCCGGCCGGGAACAGGGCGGGAGCCGGCCCGGGATGCAACAGGTCACCGATGGCTGCGCGCTGAGAGGGGTGCGGGCTCTGCCTGACCCGCTCTGCTGCGTTAGACGGGCCGTGGCTCCCAGCCTATCTCCAGCTCCGCTCGCCCAGCACAGCCCGCCGGGGTTAAACCCCTGACGCTCCTCCTCTTCCTCCCCCCACCATCCCGGCCTGTCGGGGTGGTCCTGCAGCCCCGGCCCGGGGCAGAGCCCGCCCTCTATAATCTGTGCGCGGGCGGCACCGCCACGGCTGCTGCGGCGCTCTGAGGCGGAGCGGAGCGGGTTGTGCTGTGCGGGCCGTGCCCCGCCGCCTCCGGCTCGCTGTCCCCGCTCGACCGGTGAGTGCTGCGGGCAGGGGGTACGTGAGGAGGGGTCCCGGGCAGCTCCGGCGGGGCCGTGAGAGGCAGCAGGCGGGGATGAGGCTTCTCCGCCTTCTCTCGCTGCGGGCGGGAGGTCCTGGCCGGGAGAGCGCGGCCCCTTCGCGGGAGGAGAGCGTCGGCGAGCGGGAGAGCTCCGTGGGAAGCCCGGTGAGGGCGGGCGGATGGCCGTCGAGGGAGGCGGCTCCCCGCGGGAATGGGGCTCCCCGCGGGAAGGGATCCCAGGGGGCTCGGCTGGGAGAGCGACCTGTGGGAGCGGCGGGATGGAGGCGCCCTGAGAGGAGAGCGCGGGGTGAGGCGGGGGCAGAGGGGCGGCCGGCGGGCAGGGCAGTGCTGCGGGGGCTGGGGAGCGGGATGGCGGGAGAGACGGGCTGCGGCACGGCGGGGGGATGCGGCCGGTCCGCGGGGAACCAGGGCGGGTCCTCTCGCCGAGCAGAGCGGGGCGGCGGGCACGGGGTGCGCGTTCCCTCCCCGGGGGTCGTGTATGGTGGCGGCGGCTGGGGAGAGGTCGGGAACAGCTGTGAGCCACCGGCAGATGAACAGAGAGGAGCGGTGCGAGCAGGGCGGGGAGAACCCCGCAGATCTCCGGGTAGAGGGGAAGCCGCTCCACGGGAAAGGAGGAGGAGGAGGGCGGCCGCTGAGGGCACCTGCCCGGGGCGAGGAGGGGGGAGGCGGGCGGTGGGGCTCGTCTGAGCCGTCTCGGTGAGGCGGACGGGGCTGTGCTGTCCTTGAAATCGGCTTGTCAGGGGAGGGGAGGAGGAGGCAGGGAGGAGACCCCCAGGCTGGGCTCTGCGGAGGATGTGAGCGGGGACAGGGCCCGTGCGCTCCTGCGGGCTCCGCGCTCAGCACGGCAGCTCTGCGGCGGATGCCGCCCGCCTCGGAGGAGTTCCCTGAGGCGGTGCTGCCGCTGGCTGCTCGCTGAGCACCTGGGCAGATCGCGCCAGCCCGCCCCGGCTGGCCAGACGTTTTCCTCAGCAGAGGTGAGCTCTGCAGGGAGCCAGGAACCTCATCCGAGAGCTGGGGAGAAGGGGCAGTTGTGGTAGTAAACACGGGCTGTGTCTTCTGCACACAGATGCGGAGGAGCCGGTGAAGAAACTACCGCCACATCGGTCGGTATTGCAGCAGAGGCAGAGCTGCGGTAGCCGCGCTCCTCTGCAGTTTGCAGATAAGGACTAGGCGGCCTGTTGGAGGAAGAGGTCTCTACAGTTTAAGCGATTGGAAAGAAGGTGAAGGAAAGGCTCAGTCTCAGCTGCCAGTGGGAGACGCGCGTCGTGTTGCGGTACCTTGGTGTCGGGACGTGTACACAGCGTTTATCAGTTCACACTTGCCAAAAACTGCCTGTTTATAGGCTGGAGTTACTGTGTTTTACAATTTTCTGCTGATGCTGAGAAGTAATTTAACAAAGAATGCCCTATAAATACTGGGGTAAATGCACCACTTAGAATGAAGTTAAATAAATTATTTTGTTTGGTTAGTGAAAATGTACTTTAAATATTTAGGCAATCAGCTGAAAATTAGACCTGCTTATATTTCGAGGAAGGTGTCTCATCTGGAATTTTTACAGGTGTGCTTCTGCTTGCAAATGGCTGTGACTTGTAAAACAGAAGACTGTGTTTATGTTGCTTTTTTTATTTATTAGTTTTGAAATTAGTGAGAGGCTGCTGAAAGCAGACTGGATTCTGAATATTCAGTTTTGCCTGACCTGAGCACTTACCTGATTTGAACATATAGCAGGGGAGTCAGATGGGTACCAAGGCTGCCTTGTGTGCAAGATGCTGTTTGTTTGGGTTTTCTTGGTGCTGCCAAGCTCTGTTCTGCAGTCCCTAGTGTTTATTAGGTTTATCTGCTTCTTAATCCTCCTATGGCAACAGGTTGTAATTGTTGGTAGGCCTAGGCAGATTTTGTAACAGAAAGCTGTACCGTTTTAGCCTGCCAGTATCTAACTTGGCTTGGTGTATTGGATCTCTTGAACGGGAAGGTGGTGGTTTTTTGTTGGTTTTGTTTTTGTTTTTGTTTTTTTTAAGCATGCTTAGAAGTTTCAGTCTGCCTATGTAACTGTGTTTTGTGGCTGTTTTAATTTCACTTCTGGTGGTTGCTGGCGTGGTGCACGGGGATTATGGACTTGGATTTTCAAACGTGTAATTTAAAAAAATGGAACAAATGTACTCAGAACCCTTGTGTGGGCTTCCTATGGACAATTAATCTACCACCATCCCAGCCCATCCTGGTCTGCTGCCAGCAGGCAGCACCCCCATTGAACTTCAGCAGTCTAGCCCCTAGTTGATTGAATTTCAGTTCACGGGGTTAATCATGGTTGCATCACTGCACTGCAGTGTTGTATTTGCATGGATTGCAGTGTTAAACAGAAGGAGGCCGGTCCCATTGGAACAAAGGGCTGGATGGCATGCTGCCTCTGAGCTCTGTTATTCAGAGTTGATGTGTCCTGGAAGTTGCTCAACTAAAGCATCTAGCTCTGTCTCCTCTTCCCTTTTTAAACTTAAAGCAGAGGTTGGTTTGGAAAATATTTTTAGTTACAGATAGGATAGGATATATCTGAGATGATAATGCTACTGCATATTTGAGTGATGCTGTTCTCCACAGGTAGTATTTCAAACCCCAGGAGTTATGCTTAGTGAGTTGTACGTATAGAATATTAGTGTCAACCGCAGAGTGAAATGCAAAAAAGCTTGAGTCTTTTCCAAATGGACATTTGCAAACCACACATAATAATGAAAATATTTAATTTATCTTAATCTATCTTGTTAAGTACTTCACAGGGTGTGTAGTAATGAAATTGGTAGCTCATTTGATAATTCCTGTAAGGATTTCTAAGTTTCACACAGCTTCTTTTCATTCACTGTTTGCTTGAACTTGGAGAGAGTTGTACTGGCAGTTTCTGTAACTCATTGACTGAGTGATGCCACACTGTGTGTGAGGAAATGAGATGCCCACGTGCTGCAGTGAAGATTAACATAAACTGCTATTTAGTTCTCTTTATTTGTGTCACTCCTGCGTGTATAATTTTTGAAGTTCTCAGAATTGCAGATTTCAGGGATAGATTTTTCCTCTTCAATGCTGTTTGTCTAGCATATTTAACTACTAATAAGCTCCCAGCTAAGTTTCTTTTAGATATCAAGAAAAGGAAAACTTCTGGGAGCTTTTTACATCTGAGTTATTTTTAGGTAGGTTGAATACATATTAGATGCTCAGAGGCATCTTAAATTATAGGTTTAACAGTGTTTCTGCAAGTTCCTGATTATTATTATTATTAATGTAACCTTGAAAATATTAGTGTTTTATGTAGTACAGAGAAGGTGGTGTTAGTCTGGAGGAATTGCTCAGTATAGACTGTATATACCATGTTTACTGTGCTACATTTGCCAGCAAAGGGAGAGGAAAAGAGTATGGCCGTAATTCTGCACATTTCTTGATTTGCAGGAAACTCACCTGAATTTTATAAAAGCTTGACGGAAAACTGTATAGAATTGGAGACTTACATTTTTCCACTTAGCAGAATATTGTTAGTTTTTGCAGTACAGGGAGTGTCCTTGCAATTTCAGTATTGTCCTTGTCTTAAAACTGCCTGCTTTATCTTGTTTAATACATGACTACTTACTTCTAGAAGGTGTAGTAATTATTTTCCTGTATTTGGAGAAATTTGAACTGTCTTATTTGCCTGTTTGTGCAATTAGATAGACTTTAAATTGCCTTTAATCTAAAATCTTACGAAAAAAGTTGTGTGTGTGTGTGTACTTTATCTTCTTCTGCCCTCTCTCTCTAATATAACAGAGTACACTACAGCGAGTTTTACCTTAAGACACCAGTTAGAGAAGTTGTTCTCTCATCTTTCTCTGCCACACCTAACATTTCACTGAAATGGGTGCTTTTGCACCTGTTTCCTTAAATTTTGGATCAAGGCTCAGTTACCATGTGTGTGCTTTTTCTCTTGACTCACTGAAGTGTTGCAACTGCACTTCAGAAATCTCTGGAAAACTAAACCTGACTCAGAAAAATTGTTGAAAATTCTTAAGGAAAAGAGATTGAACTGTTGCCTTTGAGCCCCTAAAATCAAGAGCCAAATAAGTTTAAGGTGATAAAAAGTGGTAAGGTCCTCCCAGCTGCACAACACACTGCGTGCTGAAATTGCCTTGAAAATGTACACATGATATGGGGCTTTTACACTTTTATAAATTTAGCAAATTAGCATAATTGACAAGAATCGCCAAATAGAAGTACAGTTAATGAAGTAATTCCCCTCTTGGTTTGACCCCCTCTGAAGCCCCTTCATCCTTCCTGCTAGCTCTGCTTTGTTTATGTCTAAAACATGAGAAAGTGTCTTGAGAAGGTGGCTTGGCCTCGATTCCCAGAAGCAGCAAGATCAGAACAGACTTTCAGGAATTTGTCTAATAGGAGAAGTACTGGAGTTAGTTAGGAAACTGTATAGCTATACAATGATAGTCCCCAGAGCTATGAATATATATGAAGAATATATATAAAAGCAAAGGTAATTTTGGCATCAGAGCAGTAGTGCATCAAACCTGCACATTTTTCATTGTTCTGCCATAAAGGCAAAGTGATTTTTTTTTCACCTAGTTGTGGTCTTGTGATATTTTGATAATAAACTGCAGCCTAAGCAGTTCTCACTTTTTGACCATTTCTATGTTCAGCCTTATAGCAAGATGTGCATATGATAAAACTTCACTAAAAAGTATCTTCTAGGCTGAAGAAAACTAGTCTCAGTAAAAAAATTAGAGGAAAATGAATTTTTGGATTTGAACTTCTTTTTTTTCTTTCATTATTCTTTAACAGAACATTCTTTTCCAGGTAGGAAAATCCTCATGGTATTATTTGTTCTAAATTACTGTGTGCTTGTGTTGAGCATACTTCAGAGTGGTTGCTAACATCATCTCTTTGAATAAGGCTTGTGTAGTGGTGTTAGTCCTAGCATTATCACTGTTCATTCTTCTTGGTTTTCATAAGCCATGAGGAGGAAAGATAAGTTTGAGTGTTCCCTCTTAACTCATTCAAACAGTGGAAAAACAAAACTGTCTCTCGCTCTTTGATCTGATCTTGTATTCCTTTGTTCCATGTTTTTCTTGATGTGTCCTTTGAGTGCAGCACAGACTACTAAACAAGCTTGCAATGTGTTTTTGACTTCTTGCAAAGTACTTGCTTTCAGAAAGGTATCTGGTGCTTTACCAGAGACTGTAAAGCATGGGAGAGATTAAGTCTCACATTGCTACAGGTTTTAAGTCTTCTGTCTTCAGCATCTCTTTGACCTGGAAGTACCTTGGAAGTCAAGGTGTTGGTGTAGCATTGGGCTGCCTTAAGCTGCCAGGTGTTTGTGTTATTTTGCTGTCGTTCCTGCTGGTGGATGGTCTGAATCCCAAGGTGGAGACTGAAAGCATTTTTCCTGGGTAGTGCTGCTGAAAAGGGCAGCAGAGGCCCAGCTGTGCTTGGGGAAGGCAGATGGTGCTGGGCTGGAAATGATGTCCAGTTGGAAGTGATGTCCAGTTGGAAGTGATGTTTTGTCATGAGCAGTTTGCTCCCACATGGCCCTGCCAGCGGCCTTCTGAGGGATCAACAAAGGCATCTCAAAGAGAAGCCGGCCTGGTGAGTGGGAAAGTCAGCGTGGTGCTCACTGGCACACTCATCCAGTATGTGCAGCTTCCAGAATCAGAGAAGAGCAGCACTTTCTCTCTTGCCTTTTATCTGGTTGGTTTTGGTTTGTTTCCTCAGAGACTGCTATTGAACGCTGAAGTGAAGGAGTCTTGCCTGGCTTCTTGTAGTCAAGACATGGTCACTTGCTTTGTTGGAAACCCAGGGGTGTTTCTGTTTACATTTCTTAAGTAGCGGTAGATAAAGCTGCTGGGATTTTGTTGATTCAGAATGCTCTTAAACATGTATAACTCTCCAAAGTCATCTTAATGACACTCAGCAAGGTGTAAATAAAAATTGCTGACTTCTCCAATTCCTAAGGAGAGCCTAAAGGTAGCTTGAATTAATAGAAAGTAATTGCTGACACCCATTGTCATCTGTCAAGAGGGTGATGTTTTGTTGGTTTTTTTTTTGTTGTTGTTGTTGTTGATTTTTTTGTGGTTTTTTTTTTTGGTTTTTTTTGGTTTTTTTTTGTTACTTTTAAGTGGTATGTAATTTTTTTCCTCAATCTTGGAAGACAGTTAAGAATATCTAGGATTGAAGGTTTTGCTAAAAGGTGTAAATTAAAGAAATATGGGGTATGACTTGCAGTGTCATCAACTACAGAACCATCAGGTGGTAATTAAATGCATTGTGTAATAGTTGTGACATGACATACTGAGTTAGAAGCACAATTCATACAGTGTTCCTTCAATTTTGTTTCCCTTGGAACTGTACCAACATTCTGCTTTGTTTTTGAAAACTCACTGACCTGGAACTGTGCATAATTCTTTTTCCACCTCCTTCAAGTACAATGTATGGAGTATAACATATTATTCACAAACCTCAATGTTTTTTTCTTCCTTGTCCTATCAGGGTCACTTTTGCAACTGTTGATATGTTCAGTTTCCACAAAAGATTGCAGGTTGTCTTGCACTTTCCTATTTGCTTGCACACACCTTAATGAGCTGTTTCTTCTTTTTGACAGAGATGGTGCGTTGAGTCATTTTCAAGTGATGCTGCTGTACCACTCTGAAGTAAAAATACATTAAAGAATTGAAGGTGCAAGAGTGCACCAGCATTCTCCTGCCTAGAAAGCCACCCTTCAAGTGAATGTACTGAAGATTTCTAGGCTGGGTCGGACAAATACCTCTACCTCCAGTTTTATGAATACTGCTCACCATGGCTGTGGAACTCTGTTTGCTGCTGCTGCTGTTTTGTGGAAGTACTATTTCAGAGGTACAGCCTATATACAAACCACCTCCTGGAACTTTGGATTTTGGATTTGTACCAGCCAAGACGTATGATACAGGTGCATACCATGAACCTGGGGCAATAGGAATTTTGTTTAAAATAGTACATGCGTTCCTGTACTTAGTACAGCCAAATACTTTTCCTCAAGGTAAGCAGATAAACTACTTTTGTTTAAAATACAGATTTGTTACAGATGTGTTCACGTTATTGTAGATACAAACGCCATAATGAGGGGCTTTTTAAGTAGCATATGTTATGATTTGGAAATCTGTACAGTTCTGTATAAAAGAATATTTTTCTGCTAAGTACAGTGGGGAGGAGATTGTTAATGAAAATAAAATGTTGGTGACATTTCACAGAGCTTTGCTTACATATCTCAGAACTGTCACTGATAGATTTGAGGCTTGTTTTCTTAACAAACAGCATGAGATAGAAGTAGAGGATAAGCTGCTTTGTATTTAACATTAAATCCGTAAGAGCTGAATTTTGTCTATTGTGATAAACAGTCAGGTGGTTATAAGATTTAGCCCTGGAAACTTGAAATAAATTTTATTTGTTTCTATATATGTGCATCCATGGTCAAGTTTTATGTAAGAGCAGCTCCATTACATAGTTATGTGTAGCTTCTTGTTCCTTTGAAAGCTGCCAGGTAAAAATTGCACTTGTTTTAATGAGACTTTTTTTCCAGTCGTTTCCTACTAAACTGTCCCTTCTAAAGAAAAACTTAGGATGTTGGAGAGGTGTGTGCAGCCTTATTGAGGTTGCATTGATTAAAAAGTGCTTTTGAAAATTGTATTTTTGTGGGTGTGGTAGTTTTATCAACTTAACTTTTCAACATGCTTTTTGTTTAATTTTGCTCTTAAAAGTGATAATGTGTTTGTATAATACTGGCATTTAAAATTATGTCAAGGTGAAGCTTTAATTAAGTCTAAGAATGGCATTGGTTTGTAGCGGATTCCTTTCAGTAGTTAGCTCCAACTGTGTATAAAAGGTGTTTATATTATTTTGTAATACAGATTTCAATTTATACATTTAAACTTTTAGTAATATAAAGCCATAAATTCTTTAGTCTCATTGGTCACATACATGTATGATATCTGTGAACTAATGTTTGCTTGAATTTTTGACATTTCTTCATGCATCTCTGACATAACTGTAGAAGAATGAGCTCAGCTGAACTTGAACGAATAAATTAAATTTGGGCAAGTGCTCAGAGTCCCAGGGGTTAACCAACAGAATAATACCCTGGCCTGTTTTCCTGAAGGATGTGTCTTTTGAACAGATCTTACTCAAGGTGTAATGAGGGCAGTTGCATGAAGGTGACAGTAATCTCACCTTTGGGAGGCACTGTTTCCAGATACCTCTGCTTCTTCTGCCTCTTTCCTTCTGTTAAATATGCAGGTGAACTACTTGTGTCTCTGTGAGACCTGATGGTGAGGAGTGCCATCTGCATTCAGCTCCTAGAAACAGGCCTCCACTCTGCCTAAAACCCTGCTTGAATATTTTGTTCTCTTACGATTGTAGAAACTTGATTTCACTGAGACGTTTACTGTGTTTTTATATTACCAAGAATTTGATCTGTGGACTTGTATGTGAAAATTAATACCCTGTGTCCTAAGCATGTGAATAATTAATGAGTATAGACTTTATGGTCAAGGTTATTGTCTGGCGGGACTGCTTGTAATAAGTTCTGCATCAAGTTGATATTGTGAACTCCAGCATTAAAGAAGTAAAGTATTTGTTCTTAGTTTGTAAGCTTTGAACATCTCATACTTCTCCTTATTTTCTTGAAGATACTTTTTGCCAAATCAGTTATTTTCAGAACTTTGCCTTTGTTATTGCATTAAGTGGAGTCATGTTCCCATGGCCCCACATACTTCACTGCAAAACACAGATTTGACGGATCATGTCGGTTTGAGTCATATCATTTAATTGGCTAATCCCCATAATCTCTTTTGCCATATGCTGTTCTATTTTCACATTCAGTGTATTAATGATGCAGTTACATATTTTAAATGGTTTTGTTTTATTTTGTTTGAGTTTGTTAAATTCTGGCTTGAAATAGAGTTAATTCTGATTCAGAGATGAAAATAAACGTGATGACAAATGGGCACAGAAATCAAGCATTTTGATGTTTCTATTTCAGACTTCATCATTCTGATGAAGCTGGTGCTTCAGAACAGTTAGCTCCAGGTTGATGCCCCAATGTATTGCATATAACCACAACACAGAGAAGTATAATTTGTGTGTAAGCCTTGACAGCAATCACTTAGACCTTTGATCTTAGCAGTCTTGTATTTTTTCCTAATACTTGGGAGTACTCAATGTTCAGTTTTCTATCTATTAGTACTCTTACCTGGGAGGAAAAGAAGTGATAGGAGTATCTAATTGTATGCAGATACTCCTGCCTTTGCAAATCATCTAATAGTGCTCTAAAGGGGCTGAATATTTTACAGGATAACATTCATACTCCTTGAGTCCAAAGTATGCCTTTATATTTTATGCTTTATACTGTATAAATATATATATATATACTATATGTCTTTATGCTATATACTCCTGTGATAAAACAAGAACTGAAGTACATGAGTCATTGGGAAATGTTATTCTTAATTGCATGGTGCTAAGACTCAACAGTTGAAAGGGATCGCTTAAAGAAAAAATCAGTCAAGAAATATTTTGTGAGATGGTTTTCTTTTAAGTTACATCTAGATAAGTAATTATTTATTCCCTTCTGAATTTGTTCATCCAGTCAAGTTTGTGGAAGTACAACTTTAATCTAAGTTTAGATTTAATAAGTAAGTTATTAATCAGATTAAATATAGTTCTCATGTAAAGTACAGTAACAGAACCAGGGCAAGGAACTGTAACGCCTTTTAAGATTTTTTAAATTGCTGAATCTTTAAGACCAGCACTGTGCTCTTTGCATATGGCAAGAAACTAGCTCAAAAGTGAATTAGGATATGTGATTGCAGTGCTTCAGTGAGTCTAAATAGATTCTGCTTTCAACTCCACCAGTCAAATATTTTTTATACTCATTAGCAGATGATGTACTGCTGTAAATGGGAGTGTGTTTACTTAAGTGTAAACTGTTATTCAGGGAAGCAGCCTCCACTTTGAGTTAATGATACACTGGACTGGAAAGGACTCTCACTGCTTTGCTACCTGAGGCTCAGTAGGTCGCTTTAATCTCAGCGTGCCTTTGTTCCTCCATGGTCATGATTGTGCTGCTACTCCTTGAGGACTATTTAGAATAGAGGCATCATTTTCCTTCTTGTTAATAACAGCACTTAAAATAAAGAGATGATAATAGGAAAATTACAAGTTGCTTCTAGCACTTAGCTAAGAAAGAGGATGTCTAACAAAACGAACAATCAGTTTTTCTTACTTAAAAATTTTCATATCCTGTAGCATTGATTTATTGATAAAGTGGTCAGTTCATGGTTGTGAGATGGTGCATGCCATCTGTTGTGTTGGAAACCTTCAGATATGAACTTGGTATGGGCAGGGCATGGTCAGTATGATGGTGTGGCTGCTATGAATTATCATAGTTTTGTTTTTGTTCCCATGGAAACAGGTGTTAGTTGCAACAAGAGAATGTTAATCTGAGATTCCAGTTGCCAGCAGGATGTGCCCAACAAATCTTTGGCTTCACAACTTGTGTCTTGTAATAAAAATATGAAGCCTTCACAAAGGAAAGAAGATGGGAATAAAGCTCCTGCTCCTATTTTTAGGTGAAATAAGTAAGAAACTTGCAAGCCTGTTTACCTTACTGTACTGTAGGTGAACATGCTGCAGAACAATTCTACCAGTTAAGTTACAGCTGCTCTTCTCCAGCTTCTGACTTTTACTCTAGATAAGCATTTGTGCTGAAGCGGGAATACAGCTAACATAAAAGTCAGCTGTTGAATGCAGGTACTTTCTGGGCAAAGGATAGTATGAAGAGTTAAATGTACTATTTGCTGTGGGGAACAAAACCAAGATTTTTAGACCAGGACTACACCTCTCAGTTCTTACTGACTGTGGAATCTTGCTTGCTAAACAGTTTAATCAGACTGAGGATCAGAATGTGAATATTTTAATGTCAGGTCCTGTAGCTGACCCCTTTTGTCCTTTTCTCCTTATCTAGTCAGCTTTTAAAGCAGCTGCATATTGTGAAGTTCAGCAGGTTAGTCTTGTTATCTCAATAATAAATCATGAGTGTATTCAGTCATTAAATTATTTCCTGATATTGTAAAGAAGAAACTTGTAACTTGATGTGAAAATAAACTGTATCTGTAGCTAGTATAGATGTAACAGAAAATGCATATGCAAAACCCTATTGTTTTGGGTAGGTTTGATGAGCTCCTAGGATACTGACTTTTTAAATCTATTGGCTGTGTTGAGGCTGTAAAGCAAGAAATCAAAACACTTCATCACCCCCTCACTTAAACTTAGTAAGGCAGAATTATTTTGTGTGTGCAACTAGCTTCTTTGTCTTTTGTAGCTAATTCTTCAGAGCTCATTTTTACTTCAGTTTTGCTTCCTGTTAGTAATAAGTCTTCCACAGCTCCCCTACAAGAAAAAAAGCATCTGTCTGGATGTTGGAGCTAAGCTCAGTTATGTTTAATTGGTAGTGCCCTTTTATTTTTGAACTTAAGATTTTTTCCAAGAATGTTGGGCATGTCTGCCCCAGGTGAAAGGATTGTGCTCTGGCTGTGCAAGTGCTACAGTCCAGCATCATAAAATTTTACACAGATACCTGTAGCCATTATGATGTTTCAGAAAAACATAATTTGGGATATCCTTTTTTCCAGTTGTGTGGTGAAGTTTCAGTTTTAGTTTGGATGTGTTATACTACTTTTTTGAGCTGGTGTTTGATAGCTACCCACCTGTGCATGTGGGTTAGTTTTCTCAAAGCTTGCATCCTGGAGCTGGGAGCACAGCCCTGGAACTGGTGCAAGAACTGAGAAGAGGGGAAGAACAATCTGCCCATTAGTAACTTTGCTGTTAGTTTGGCTTCTTAGGTTGGCTCAGTTCTGTTGTCAAGAGACAGTTGGTGCCTTCACTCCATCCCTGTGGTGTTTTTCCACAGCTGTGACTGTAGTGTGAATTTAGAATAGTGGCTTAAGTGTGTATATCAAAAATGCAGGTGTGACACGTGCACTG